CATTAGAGCAGATTATGCTAAGTGAAGCTAGCCAATCCCTAAAAAACAAATGCCAAATGTCTTTTTTGATATAAGGAGAGCAACTAAAAACAGAGCAGGGAGGAAGAGCATGAGAAAAAGATTAACATTAAACAGGGACGAGAAGTGGGAGGGAAAGGGAGAGAGAAGGGAAATTGCATGGAAATGGAAGGAGACCCTCATTGTTATACAAAGAACAACGCAAAGAAGGATAAACAGCCCAGTCCCAGAAGCCAGTTCCATTTTTACTGGCCTGGTTAGAAGCTGAATCCGTGTAGCTGGGGCGGGGGTGGGGGGGGGGGGGGGGGGGGGAAGAATTAAGCAGCTCCACACTCTGATCTTAAACTTCTATGGGAGAAGACAAGTCACTGCTGGCAACTAAGTTATATTTGGAAAGATTAGATAGATGTTTCTCCTCCTTAAGAAAGAGTACTTAAGATGAGGCCGGGAAAGAGTCCCTATTCATGTCTCTTCTCTGAGATTTTGTTTCCAATCTCCAATTGCAAGAGAAAAGAATCCTAAATCATTTAATTTTTCACTGTAGAAGATTCTCTTTTGAGTAATAAAGAATTGTCAGTCACCACCTATGCAGTCTGCAAACCTACTGACAATCTACTACTGTCATCAGGAATCCCAGGCTAACTTACCCAAATCAAGAAATGGGGCTCTATTAAAAAAAAAAAATTTTAAATGAAATACTGCCATGCGTGGGAGCGTACACATTAGGGGACACACTCTCAGGTAATTTTAAGGATCTACTAACAACGGCCACAGTAACAGGGAACTACATCTGTTTCTGCTTGAGAAAATGCTTCAGTAATATCCTGTTTCGGGAGTATTGCATGAATTCTTGGCATGCAGCCTTCAGATATTAAGGGTGACTGTTTTCCTTTTTTAAGATGTAAGATTCAGGGAGGGAGAATACATCACAAGAACACCAGACTCTAGTTCTCAGTTCAGATCTCGCTGCAGTTGCACTTCCTGCTTACTATACCCAGTATCTTCAGAGATACTGCTCACCCCAACCTTGACAGTAGCACAGCTGGCCTTTCACAGATGCAGTGACCTAGCCCAGTGCTGCTGCTGAGGTCTACAGCACAGAGACTTCCACACCCAAGTGAGAACCAGGATGAGAGCGCTGCTGGTTTCTAGGCCAAAAAAATAAATAAATAAAATGAAAGGGAAAAAAAAAGGGAACCTTACACACAATCATGAGCACAAGAAGGAAGAATATATAGGGCCTACCAGAACCTCTACCTTCTCACATAAAAGGTTTATACACAACAATACTCCTGAATTTACAATCATCCAAGGGAACAATGATTACACTGAATTTGAGCCAGGGTCCAGTGAGCAGACCTTGATGCTTGAAGGAGGCTTGCCTGATTGCTTCCTGGATCTCAGATCCAAAGCTATTAACAGCCTCAAATACCCATCACAAAGTCCCCAACCCCAACCTCAACCTCAAGCTACAGCGTTTACTCCCATCAACAGAGAAACAGCCCTCCCACATTACAGGCAATATTTCTCACTGCTCTAGTTTCTAAGTATCCCATGATGTGGTAACATAATTTAAGAACATGAATTTTTAAAAGATTAGTCCACTAAATGAAACTTCACTACAGTGAGGTGTATAGGTATTCTAGTTTAAATGTGTCTTCTAAAAATTCAAGTGTTGGAATCTTAAACCTCAAATTTATATGTTAATGCTATTTGAAGGTGGGACAGGAAGGTGTAGGTAGCTGAAGGTAATTAGGTGCCGATGAGGTCATGAGGGTGGGGCTTCCATGATGGCATTAGTGGCTTAAGAAAAGGAAGAGACCCAAGCTATCAAGATTGCTGTTTCACTATGTGATAACCTAGGATGCTGCAGAATGCCAGCATCAAGCTCTTGAACTTCCCAGTCTCCAAAACTATGAGTCAAATAAACTTGTATTCTTAATAAATTACCTGATTCTCCAGGTATTTTGTTACAGCAACCAACATAAAAGGGACTATAGAATTTGAAGAGAAACTGGGGGGAGGGGTGTTCTTCTCATCACACATGCATTTATCTAAGTGCTTCCCTTAACCCAAATGTCCTAATCCTCAATACTCATGTCTGCAAGAGAGCAATGTTTGCTTTAACAGTTTAAAAAAAAAAAAAAAAAAAAAGCCACAGAATTCGTTTCTCTATTTGTTCCTTCTCATCATTCTCCTACTGCTTGAGAGAATGCTCCCCAAACAAGAATTCCCTAGAGTCTAAGCAGACAGAGAAGGGAAAATGAATCCTGTTTGTCAGCTTCAGCCTGGAGATTGCATGTCAGCTCAGGAGTTCAGTAAAATGCTCTATGTATGGCAGTTATGCAACCTGGCCCAGTGGATCTGCAAATGGCCCAGCCACTGTCTCTCATGAATTGTCCCTTGGTAAATGGGAAACTAGAAGGGAAAGACAAGAGCCTGTGCTCTCTGGCTTTTCCTCTCTACCAGCAAGTGTTTTATTCTCCCAGTTCCCCTGTTGCTGCAATGAGGAATATTATGTTCCTCCTTTTTGTTTGTTTTGTAAAGCTGCTGTATTTCTCTGAGTCCACAGAGGATACCAGCAGTAACCTGGTTGTCAGGAGAGCTAAGAATATGGATCAAGAACACAAGGAAAGTTCTGAAACAAAAGGCAAGTTTTTATCTGTGGGATGGACAAGCTTGCAGAAGTGAAACAATGCTTAGTAACAATAAACTTGAAAGAAGTCTTACTTTTAGAAGCCAGGTGAATTATTACCTTAGGAGAATAAATGTATGTGTATATGCAGAGGAGGAGGGGAGCAGCAGGAACTGCTGCCCCAGCAACAGCCAAGGAGGAAATCCCCTGCCAGGAGATGCACCATTACATAAGAGCACAAGTTCAATCACAGCACCATGGACACCTGCCAGGAAACCAAGCAAAGTGCTGAGGTCTCCTCACCTGCTAGCCTGCATGTAGCACCTTATTCTACCTATTTTCCTCTTCTTTCAGTGGGATAAATTCTGGGTTTTGAGAAGGCTGGCCTCTGCAATTAAGTAAAACTCTGCCATTGGATAGTGGCTTTGTTCTCAGGTTTAAACACTGATCCCCTGGAGACCTGAGACTTTTTAGTAGCAGGTGAGGATATGTTTCATATACCATTTTTTTTTTTTTTTTACAGTATCCAAGAACTCACTCTATAGACCAGAATCCCATCTATATGCTTCATATTGATACTGTCTTCTATTTAACTTATTGGGCAAATGTTTCTTAAGCAGCAAAGGGCCATTAGGAAAGCAAACAACATAAACCAAAATAAGTTGACTTAGTGAGCTCCCTGAGGACATGACTGGGTTCTGTCTTATTCACTGCAGTATCCCAACACCTAGTATAGAATGTGTCTGGCAAACATTCTGTATCACATACATACTTGTGAAAATGAATAAGTGTTGTGCAAATATACCATATGTGTATCTTGGAGTGTTAAGGATATACATAATCTCAGAAACGGGTTAAAGTAATTGTGCAAGAAAGTTCTAGAAAGACTCCAAAATCTCTTAGTGACCTTGGGCAAGTTATTTAACTTGTCTAGCTTTGGTCTCAATCGAAAAAAATGGGGAGACAATAGTCACCTCGAAAATTTGTTATTAAATGAGAATGAAAAGTGAAACTCTCAGCAAAAAACTTGGCACACAGTAAGTCAAAAAATTTTCCACATTATTGCTATTATTGTTGCTTTATTAAAATACTCCTTAACTGAGGGGGAGAAATATCCAACTATAAGAAAAATCTTCATTTCTTGTTGAATATGCATCTAACAAAAAAATGCAAAGCTCAGAACACTCAGAACTCAGTGCCAAGGGCATGTCTCTACTAGCCTCCACTAGATGGTGACAATTTGGGTGTGGAATTCCCAAGACAGAAAAAGTTCATACATATTTTTTAACCCAAAGGGATTCAAACAGTAAAGAAGTGCACTAATCACTGAAAAGGATGGAAAGACAAACTCCCCACTCTGTAGATCTAAAAAGGAAGTAAATACCTTCAATGTGGTTAAATTGAACTGGGTAATCTTCCCCACCTCTGTAGAGAGCACAAACAACCCGTTAGCAAGAGCAACAAAGCCCTGCACGCTGCCTGCCATCCAGAAAAAAATTCTGTGGCAACAGCAACATTAGGCCTCTTTGCTGAGAGATGAATTTCCCTTGAACCAGCCAAATACTTGGTTTTGATGCCTCTTTTCTCCTGAGTCTTACAGTTCCCATTACCATCTGCCCTCCCAATCGCGTTACAGGTAACTTTTTCCACTTTGGCAACTGCACAGTCACCATCGTGCGGGAGAGTCAGACTCACACTAATATTTGAAGTCTCTAAAAACCAATCTCTAAAAAAGGAAGTCTATATGTATGTCCACAAAAAAAAAAAAAAAAACAGACAGGAAGTGGCTTTGATGAGTTTCAGCCCAGATAATAAGAAAAGTTTTTTAGATTAAAGAGCGGATGAGAGGCACAGGGGCTCCAGAAGGCTCACGCATACGCACAGGCGACTCCACGATTTCCTCAGGAAATCCACCTCCGCTAAGTCTGCCCTGCCCAGCGCAGGACCTGCAGCTTTACTCGGAGGGAGGGAAAGAGTAACAGTAATAAAAAGAGGGCCTCCGCCTACCCCTCTGTACCGACCCGATAAGAGCGCTGGCCCTCTTGGCTCTGCCCGGAGTGCGGGCACCAAGTGCCCGACCTCCAGTCAGCCGTCCGGTCCCCTCTCAGCCCGGTACACCTCACACCACCACCCCGCAGTCCCGCCGGACCCGGCCGGGCCGGGCCAAGCCGGCGCGGGGCTACCGCCGGTGCCGCTCACAACCGGGTGACAGCAGGCCGTCGCGGGGAGCAGACGGTCAGGGCTCCCACCAGCGTCCATCCGGGCGGTGCGCGCCCACCCGCGCCCCTGACAGCCGGCCAGGCGCGCCAGCGACACAATGCCGGCCCCGGCCCCGGTGACAACTCACCCGGGAGCGGCGCGGAGACCTCCGGGAGGGGGACACTCGCAGCTTCCGCGCCGCGGGATCCACTCCGTCGCTGCGCGAGCCTGCAACCCTTTCGGGTCTCGGCGAGGCCCCGCGTGCCCTTGTCTAGTTTGCGCTGGCCGGCGCTGCGGGAGGAGGAGGCAGGCGAGAGGGAGGGAGGCAACGAGGCGGTCGCCGGCTTCGGAGAATGGAACGCGGCGGCGGCGGCGGCGGCGCCAGCGTCACTGACCCAGCTGTACCGCGCGGGCGGGGGAGGCCCCGCGGAGGGAGGAGGGAAAGGGGCGGGGAGGGGGCGGAGCCAGGCGCGCACGCAACAAGCGCCGGCGTCGCGCCGCCGCGACTGACCCGCGAAGAGGCTTCGCACGCACGCGTCGCCAGCCGGGTCTGACGCCCCACGGGAGGCGAGACGGCGATGGGGGTGCCTTAAAGGGACAGGCCCTCTGAGTGAGCTGGTGTGGATCAGCTGTAGTAACTATTCGGACTGCACAGAGTTTGCAGTGCGCTCTCCAGTTGTTGTACTGTTATTATTATTTAGGTGTTATTTTAGATTATTGAATTACTATCGTTTGCAAAGAAGTGAGCTGCTCTCGGTTTACAAGACTTTTACACACGTTGCCTTGTTAGCTCGCCTGACCAATCTCTGAAGCAGGTTATTATCCCCCTATTAAAGCAGTACTCCTTAAACTCTGGTGAGCAGCCTACTAACCTCAAAATTGCCTCGAGGGGTGGGTGGGTGTGGAAATACAGATGGGGCCCCACCTCCAGTTATTCTGATTCAATAAATCTGGGGTCAGCCTCAGGCTTCTCTTTTAATGAGCAAGTGATCTCTCAAGCATATTAAAAGCACAGGATGGATCTCAAGGTTAAGGAAACTGAAATTTAGAGCAAAGACTGGCAGAGCCACGGCTAGAACCCCACCACGCTCCTAGCTATTTTTCCCCTCCCGAACCTTGCCTCCTAGGGCTACTCCATCAAATCCTAAGTGAGCAGTTGGTGCACTGTATGGCTACGTCATGTGGTGGCGACTTCTCACTACAGATGCTTCTTGGGCTTATGTGTTTACAAGGCTCCTGGCACCTTGAGGTCAGGGAGTATGACAAACTTATCTTTTGCCTGAGGCCCTTGAACCTTGCCTCTCAGAGGTGCTCCATAAATGTCGAAGTGGAGGCTGGGATTGTGGCTCAGTTGCAGAGCGCTTGCCTTGCATATATGAGGCACTGGGTTGGATCCTCCGCACCACATAAAAATAAATAAATAAAAAGTATTGTGTCCATCTACAACTAAAAAAAATCTTTTTTTAAATGTTGAGGTGGCACTCCACCTTGAAAAGCAGTGGCAGAGGCCGCATTAAACTCCACACACTTATGCCTTTACAGCAGCTTGGATCAGGCAGACCTATCCTCCCAGATGTGTTTGTTTTTTCCTCTTCCCCTTGTAGTGCTGAGGATGCAAACCAAAGTTCCACGCATGCTCTGAAAGTACTCTACCACTAAGCTACACCCCCAGGCCCGAAATTTTTATTTTTTTCTTTTGCCAGATGCCCTTTGGCAAGAATACAACACCTCAAGGCCTCTGGAGAAAGGCTTTCAGGCTGTGAATCAACAGGGCTGTGAATCTTTGAAGAAGCTCAAACAAAGCAAGCACGGTGCCCTCTCCCCAGCACACACACACACACATTCCCAAGAGAGCCCTCACCTGGGCCCCACAGCAACCTGAAGCAAGTTGCTACCTTTCTCTTAGGACGGTCCTTGCTCTGCCTTCTTTCTTCCTCCTCTTCCTTGGGCAAGATGAACACCCTCCTTTCCTGCTCATTTCCTCCCTCTAGTGGAGCTACACTGCCCAGACCATCAGGGGGTTGAAAAGCAAATATCAGAATTAAGCTCAGCAAAACCTGTGCCCAGGCTTGGAACAGCTCAGGGCCAGGGCCCATGCAAGGTTCAGGAAAGGGATAAGGACAAAGGAAACAAGGGGAAAGGGTGGAAGAATAAGTGAAGAAGACAAATGGAGAGGAGAAAAAAAAAAAAAAAGGAAGAGAAAAAAGTAGGCATCAACATGCAGGTCAGATTATCTAAGAAAACAGCTAATTCCCTGACTCTGCACCACAGTCAGTTTGACCACTAACAGGTGACCTCATGCAAAACCTGCAAAATGGCTTCTGAGACCCTACACAGCTGTTAATCACTACTTAAAATCCTCCCCTGAAACCCAGGCCCACAGGATGAAACCAAACTCCCCAGCAGGAGGAAGGAGGATCACAGGTTCAAGGCCAGCTTGAGCAACTTAGTGAGACCCTGTCTTAGGAAAAATAGAGGGAGGGCAGGGTGTCAGGGTGTAGCTCAATGGGAGAGTGCCCCCAGTACCACAAACTCCCCAGCTAGGACCAAGAGTCCAGTGCTACCCAAAATCTGGCCCAAATTCTCCCTTCTTTCCATATACCCAGACTCCAGCCTCCCCACACCACTTACTGGTCTCTAACAAGCCACTGTTGTCACATCTCAGAGCCTGTGCCCAACTGTTCCCCTCTACTTGGAATGCTCTCCCCACTTACCAAAAGGAGTGGTACTTTGGTTGAGCCTCACACTTCAGTGTGCATTTCCTTCTGTTCTCCCTTGTCAGCAAAAGGGTGAGTTTCTACTCCCTCAGTATACACTGGCACACCAGCCTCTTCCCTGCCCTTTGCCCCTCCTGCCTGAGGTTCCACTTGCCCCCTTATAAACCAAAGCCAAAGTCCCTTCTGCTTATGGGGCCTTGCTCTTCTCATCTGCAAAATGGGGATGGTACTTCCTGAGCCAGAATAGATATAACTTTTATCCCATTGAAGAGATATCCCAAGGTGAATGTTAAGAATAATTTGATTTAGATATTCTGAAGTGAGAGGTAACTGTTGTTTTGCCTCTTTTTACAGTGCTAGGGTTAGAACCCTGGCCTCACGCATGTTAGGCAAGTGCTCTACCACCTAGCTAAGAAGCACTCCACCACTGAGCTACATTTCCAGCCCTGATTTTTTTTTTAATTAAAAAAAAATTTTTTTTTAATTAAAAAAAAATGGTCTAAAATCTTTAAAACTATTTTTAAAGCACAACAATTTTACTGAAATATAACTAACATGCCACCAGACCACAGTTTAAATGTACAATTATTCATTTACAGTGTACAATTTGCCAGCACAATTTGGCACACAACTATAATCCCAGCAGTTCAGGAGACTGAGGCATAAAGTTCACAAGTTCAAGGCCAGCCTTGTGAACTTAACAAGACCTATCTCCAAATAAAGATAGAAAGGGCTGGAGATGGAGCTCAGTGATATAAAGCACTTGCCTAGCATGTGTGAGGTCCTGGGTTCAATTACCCTTCCCCAAAGAAAAATGTACAATTCAATGGTTTATAGTATATTTCCAGTGTTGTACAACCATTGCAAAAAGAAACTGTAGGAGGTTCTTCCTTCTTCTTCTCTACCTTCCACTTCCTACCATTCCAATCAATAATCTACTTTCTATCTCTATAGATTTACCTATTCTGAGACTTTGTATAAATTGAACCATACAATATGTAGCTACATAATTTATTTTTGGCAGGGGGTACTAGGGATTGAACCCAGGGGGGTTTAAACACCAAGCCACATCCCCAGCCCATTTATTTATTTATTTAGAGACAGGGTAATGCCTGATTATTTAGGATCTCAATAAATTGCTGAGGCTGACTTTGAACTTGTGATCCTCCTGCCTCAACCTCCCCATCACTGGGATTCCAGGCATGCACCACCAAAGCCTGCTTGATTTTTTGTTTGTTTTGTTTTGTTTTCTGTTACTTATACCTAGTAATGAATTTTAAGACCAGAGCTAATATTTTTAAGAATTTTTTTAGTTGTCATTGCATATAATACCTTTATTTTATTTATTCATTTTTAATGTGGTGCTAAGGAACAAACCCAGTGCCTCACACATGCTAGGCGATCACTCTACCACTGAGCCACAACCCCATCCCCAAAACTAATTTTTTTATTTTTACTTATTTGTTAGGGTCTGTAAACAAGTCAGGATGGCGCCTGACTTGGCCCCGGGGCCATCTGGGGCTCCCTGAAGTTTGATCATTTCCAATGTCAATAACTACAATGGTTCTCCCACACCTGGAGGCTGATGAGTAATGAGCACTATTAAGGCTTATTTCAAATGTAAAAAAACCTTGAAATAATGTACTAAATTGTTCAGAAGGTTGTTTTCTTAGTGGAATGCTACAGGATTTTCTTTAGCCAGCATTGCCGGAGTTCCTACCTTCGTCCCAGTGCTGATAAAGACGAGGGTGGAAGAATTTCTGGTGTTGCTGAGAACCAGACGAGACTTCAGATCAAGCTAGCTGCTAACTTACCTGGACTGTGATTTACCTGGACTGTGAGTTAATCTATTGAGACACTGCTTTACCTGAACTGAGACAACAAACTGTAATCTACAACAAATTGTAACTTGGTATCTTTGCTAACGGTGTCATTGCTGGTATAATTTTTCCAAAGTCTTCTTACTTGGAGCCATCAATTGGCTTGGTATTGTGGCATTTTGTATCCTCACCTTCTGCTTGTAGCAGATTATTTATGGTGTTTGTGTAAAAACCATTATGGTCGTTATTTAAATTAAACAAAAGGGGGAAATGTTAGGGTCTGTAAACAAGTCAGGATGGCGCCTGGCATTTTGCCAGAGGGAGTGGTTTGTGAAGTAACACCATCGAGTCATTAAGTGTGGAGATTCCTTATTGGTTGACTGCTGTATCTAATTTATGTTAATTAAGATAAGCTGTGTTAAATGTATATATACCCCTCCTGTCCTACAATAAACGGCTCCCACTCCTGCTGTATCAATGTACACAAGTTGTTCGTCACC